CCTTTAATTGAGCTATGCGTAGAAAGAGGTTTGGTAATAAGTAATACATATTTTATGAAAAAGAGGATAAATAAATATACAAGGTATGATATAGCACGTAATGAAAGTAGTTTGTTAGATTATGTATTAGTGGATAAAATATTGATTTGTAGGCTCCAGGATGTACATGTTTATAGAGGGGCAGCTGATATATCGTATCATTATTTAGTTGTAGCTACAGTTAGAGTAAGAGGTAGATGGGACAAGAGGAAAATGGCAACAACAAGTAAGAGAGAGGTTTAAGTGTATAAACTAAGGGAGGAGGAAGTTCGGGTGAGATATAAGCAACTATTGGCAGAAGGTGGGCTAGTGCAAGTATGAGTAGTGGGGGGGGGGGGGGTTGAAGAGGGTTGGAATAGGGTTGGAGCAGAGGTTTGTGGCTATAGGAGGGTGGGTGCAGGAGGAAAGAGGAGTGATTGTTGGAATAATGAAGTAAACGGTGTGAAAAAAGAGAAAAAGGTAGCTTATGAGAGGTTTTTACAAAGGACAAGTGTTATAAGAAGAGCAGAGTATGTGGAAAGTAAAAGAAAGCTGAAGAGAGTGGTGAGAGAGTGCAAATGGAGAGCAGATGATAGAGTGGGAGAGGCACTGTCAATAAATTTCAATGAAAAGAAAAAATTTTGGAGCGAGTTAAACAAGTTAAGAAAGCCTTGGGAACGAATGGATTTGCCAGTTAAAAACAGAGTAGGGTAGTTAGTAGATGGGGAGATGGAGGTATTGGGTAGATGGCGGGAATATTTTGAGGATCTTTTAAATGTCGACACAGAAAGGGAGGTGGTAATGTCACACACTGGCCAGGGAGGTATACCATCTTCTAGAAGTGAAGAACAGGATGTGAGTGTGGGGGAGGTGCGTGAGGCACTATGTAGAATGAAAGGGGGTAAAGCAGCTGGAACTGATGTGATCATGACAGAAATGTTAAAAGCAGGGGGGATATAGCGTTAGAGTGGTTGGTATTTTTGTTTAATAAATGTATGAAAGAGGGGAAGGTACCTAGGGATTGGCATAAAGCATGTATAGTTCCTTTATATAAAGGGAAGGGGACAAAAGAGATGGTAAAAGTTATAGAGGAATTAGTTTACTGAGCATACCAAGAAAAGCATACAGTAGAGTTATTATTGAAAGAACTAGAGGTAAGACAGAATATAGGATTGCGGATGAGCAAGGAGGTTTTAGAGTGGGTAGGGGATGTGTAGATCAAATGTTTACATTGAAGCATATATGTGAACAGTATTTAGATAAAGGTTGGGAAGTTTTCGTTGCATTTATGGATTTAGAAAAGGCATATGATAGAGTGGATAGGGGAGCAGTGTGGCAGATGTTGCAAGCATATGGAACAGGTGGTAAGTTACAAAATGCTGTAAAGAGTTTTTATGAGGGTAGTGAGGCTCAGGTTAGGGTGTGTAGAAGAGAGGGAGACTACTTCCCGGTAAAAGTAGGTCTTAGACAGGGATGTGTAATGTCACCATGGTTGTTTAATATATTTATAGATGGGGTTGTTAAAGCAGTAAATGCTAGGGTGTTCAGGAGAGGGGTGGGATTAAATTATGGGGAATCAAATACAAAATGCGAATTGACTCAGTTACTTTTTGCTGATGATACTGTGCTTATGGGAGATTCTAAAGAAAAATTGCAAAGGTTAGTGGACAAGTTTAGGAGTGTGTGTAAAGGTAGAAAGTTGAAAGTGAACATAGAAAAGAGTAAGGTGATGAGGGTATCAAATGATTTAGATAAAGAAAAATTGGATATCAAATTGGAGAGGAGTATGGAAGAAGTGAATGTTTTCAGATATTTGGGACTTGACATATAAGCGGATGGATTTATGAAGGATGAGGTTAATCATAGAATTGATGAAGGAAAAAAGGCGAGTGGTGTGCTGAGGTATGTGTGGAGACAAAAAAACGTTATCTATGGAGGCAAAGAAGGGAATGTATGAAAGTATAGTGGTACCAATACTCTTATATGGGTGTGAAGCTTGGGTTGTAAATGTTGCAGCAAGGGGATGGTTATAGGCAGTGGAGATGTCCTGTCTAAGGACAATGTGCGGTTTAAATATTATGCAGAAAATTCGGAGTGTGGAAATTAGAAGGTGTGGAGTTAATAAAAGTATTAGTCAGAGGGCTGAAGATGGTTTGTTGAGGTGGTTTGGTCATTTAGAGAGAATGGATCAAAGTAGAATGACATGGAGAGCATAAAAATCTGTAGGGGAAGGAAGGCGGGGTAAAGATCGTCCTCGAAAAGGTTGGAGGGAGGGGGTAAAGGAGGTTTTGTGGGCGAGGGTCTTGGACTTCCAGCAAGAGTGTGTGAGCATGTTAGATAGGAGTGAATGGAGACAAATGGTATTTGGGACCTGACGAGCTGTTGGAGTGTGAGCAGGGTAATATTTAGTGAAGGGAGTCCGGCTATATAAAGTAACCGGTTTCCCTGAGGAGGGGTTTGGGATATTGGCAGTTTGGAGGGATATGTTGTGTACGTTTATATGTATATGCTTCTAAAATGTTGCATTCTGAGCACCTCTGCAAAAACAGTGATTATCTGTGAGTGAGGTGAAAGTGTTGAATGATAATGAAAGTATTTTCTTTTGGGGGATTTTTTTTTTTTTGGGTCACCCTGCCTCGGTGGGAGACAGCCGACTTGTTATAAAAAAAAAAATACAAGATGACAATATACTGTAATAGGATATAATATACGAGGATAAAAGGAAATGAAAGATTTGATAAGAGAATTTCTTAGCATTGTACCTGCTACAGGGATAACAAAGCTCACAGTTGTAGGTTAAGGAAAAAAGTGGAGCCAAAGGGATACCTGGAGAGGGTTTTGGGGATCAATGCCCCTACAGCCCGATCTGTAACCAGGCCTCATGGTGGATCAGGGCCTAATCAACCAGGCTGTTACTACTGGCCACACTCAACCCGACGTACAAACCACAGCCTGGCTGATCAGGTACGTACTGACTTTAGGTGTCTGTCCAGTGCCTTCTTGAAGACAGCCAGGAGTCTATTGGTAATCCCCCTAATATATGCTGGGAGGCAGTTGAACAGTCTTGGGCCCTTGACACTTATTGTGTTGTCTCTTATCGTGCTAGTGGCACCCCTGCTTTTCACTGGGGGTATGTCGCATCATCTGCTGAGTCTTTTGTTTTCATAGGGAGTGATTTTTATGTGCAAGTTTGGTAGTAATCCCTCTAGCATTTTCCAAGTGTATATAATCGTGCATCTCTCCCGCCTGCATTCTAGGGAGTACAAGTTGAGGAACTTCAAGTGTTTCCAGTAATTGAGATGTTTTATCGCAGTTATGTGTGCCGTGAAGGCTCTCTGTACACTTTCTAGGTCAGCAATTTCACCTGCTTTGAAAGGTGCTGTTAGTGTGCAGCAATATTCCAGCTTAGATAGAACAAGTGACCTTAAGAGTATCATCATGGGGTTGGCATCCCTATTTTTGAAAGTTCTCATTATCCATCCTGTCATTTTTGTAGCAGATGCGAGTGATACAATGTTTTGGTCTTTGAATGTGAGATCCACTTACATGATCACTCCCTGGTCTTTTATATTAGTTTTTCGCTCTATTGCGTGGTTGGAATTTGCTTATACTCCGATATAGTTTTAATTTCCTCACGTTTTCCATATCAGAGTAATTGAAATTTCTCATCATTGAACTTCATACTGTTTTCTGCAGCCCATTTAAAGATTTAAACAACTATAGGCCAATATCAAACTTGCCATTGCTATCCAAAATCTTCGAGAAACTCGTGCGCAAGAGATTATATTCATTTATAACAGCACAAAGCATATTCAACCCTTGCCAATTTGGCTTCAGAAAAAATAAAAGCATAAACGATGCAATTATAAAAATGCTAGATCTGCTTTACACAGCACTGGAAAATAAGGAACATCCATTAGGATCTTTTATTGACCTAAAAAAAGCCTTTGACACAGCAGACCATGGCATCCTACTCCACAAACTTAACCATTACAGTATAAGAGGCCATGCACTTGCATATTTCAAATTCTACCTTACTAATAGGTATCAGTACGTCACCATTCAAGACACAACCTCATCAACACGACCACTTGATACTGGAGTGCCACAGGGAAGTGTGCATGGTCCCCTACTCTTCCTCTTATACATCAATGATCTTCCCAATCTATCACAACACTTGAAACCCATTCTCTTTGCTGACAACACAACTTATGTCACCCCCCACCCAAATCTTGCCACAGTCAACACCATTGTTAACAAGGAGCTACTAAAAGTATCTACTTGGATGACAGCCAATAAACTTAAACTTAACACTGACAAAACCTTCTATATTATGTTTGGTAATAGAGCAGATGTTGCCCAACTTAACATGAAGATCAACAACACTCTTATTGCCAAACATAATGAGGGTAAATTCCTAGGCCTACACCTTGACAGCAACCTGAAATTCAGCACCCCTATCCAACACATGGAAATCACTACCGGAACAGGTCAAGGATCCTCTGACAACTTATAAACTTAGGACTTTGCTAAAAAATCATCTTATCTCTCAATATTAACCAAATCAACCAAAACATATGCTAACTAGTTTTATTATATGACCTCTAGGCTTTTAATTCTGTCAATCCATAAAATATTACCACCTGAACCATTACTTGTAATGTAGATTTTGTGTGCAATTTCAAGATTATTTTACCGAACCCTACTCCACCTTACTACCTCACATTTGTATTAAGTTTAAATAAGATTGTAAAACAGTTAACCACTACTTCTTGTCTAGTTTTAAGTATAGTTACTATGTACTATTATCTTGTCTAGTTTTAATTAGTTACTATGTACAGTATTAGGATTAGTCTGCAAAAAATGTCCTGGCATGATAGTGGCTATCTTTGTACTTAGCAAATCAAAATTGTAATTACACACTGTAACCTTTATAAAGAAATAAACTTCACTTTACTTTACTAAAATCTGGAACTAGCTACCTGCAGTAACCAACCTTGAATCATGTTAACAGGAATGACAGCTACATGTCCAACTCCAGTGGCAGATTTAGAACCATCTGTATACTCACTTGTAGCATCAAAGTGTGACTGAAAATGATCAAGAAAGCATAAGCACCTGTTCAAAGTCGAAGGGTGAGACTTTGGAAATAACAGAAGAGTAGGGAATAGTAAGGAATATGAAAATCACAAAAAGGAGGTAAACCCAAGGATTCAACAAGGGTTTGTAAGCATAAACTAGAGGGACATAATAAGGATGAGCAACGATTAAATCCCACAGCTTTGTAATAACATCCATAATAATTCTGCAAGTCATTAGATCATGAAGATCATGGAAATTAACAAGATAACAAAGATAATGTGTAGTTGGTCAACATCACACATAAGAGATATAAGATTCTGCATAGAAGCTTCAGCCAGGGACGACCAAAAAGTCCCTAAACAGAAAAGCAATCCCAGAAAGATTAGCAACTGAAGCAGAGGAATATACCTGATCTCCATAGTTTTAACTTGGATAAGACAAAGCTTGAGCGACGATGAAGGTTTCATCTACCAGCCCTTCAGTAAAAGTGAAATAAATACATATCAACTTTAAAGCTAAATCGAAATCCTACAACCTACTTCCTTTCTGTAATGAACATGTTCACCACTCTGTGGTGCTTTTTTTTTCCTCTACCAGAAGCTTATGCAGTGGTGTGATTATTCATATCATATACATGTACTTTTCCTACTATGCTCGTTATAACTGATGGAATAGCATGCTTACTGAAACAACCATGTTATTAAAAACTAAAATAATAAAAAGGCCCCCCAATGGAAATAAGTCACTCTGTCTGACTTTTTTGGGTTATCCTAGGTTCTCTACACATATGCTGCTATGTATGATAATCTATGTAACTGTATTTGTGTATACCTGAATAAACTTACATACTTAAAAGCACTGAAATAATAAAAAGAACTAAACCTCACCTTGGGAGAGTTCTGCTCATAGTGAAGGTTTGTAAGAATCTCTTCTGTCTTAATCTTGGTGAAATTAAAACATTCAGGTTCAAAAGGCTGCACTACATTTAAAATATTTTGTGATTTTCTCTTCATAATTTTTCGGTTTGCATTCATCTGTAAAGTAATCATTTTAATGTTATGAGGTGGTCAATTTTATACAGTACATGTGAATTTTTATGAAAATAAAATTGCATTTACCCATGAATGCACACACATGCATGCATGCATGTAATTGTTGTGAATCAGTTTGAAATAATAAATCACACTTTTAAAAATTGTACTACTGTTCATTTAGCTTGATAGATGAGTACAAATAGGTAGTGTGTGTGTCTGGCGATCGATCAGAAAACGGAGGCTTGAGCCTCCACCACACTTTGCGCCGAATGCCCCACATGGGTATAGAGCTTAACATGAATGATTATTATGCTCATTTAGCTACCTTTATTATTATGCATAAAATTTAGTTAACTGCATAAAAATACTACTTAACAGCCTATGTCCAATTCTTAAGTAGTCTTTAAGCATTAGGATTAATCTGTCTAAAATGCATTTGCATACTAATGACTTTCTTTTCTGCCTAACAATGTTTTATTATATGTAAACTACATTATCTTTGTACAGCATATAAAGAAATAAAAATATGAATCTGAATTAAATTTCTAATGCAGTTGACCTTAACATTCATGACCTTCGTTAAAATCATTCTATTTATTTACATATAGCAATAATAATCTTTATTTCCACAAGTACAAGGCATACAGGCCTAGATGATATCAATGACATACTACTATATAGAAAACCCCTTGTTATGCAGAGCATTCTGGGCAAATTAGATGCAACCCACACCAGTCGACTAACACCCAGGCACCTATTGTACTGATAGATGAACTTGAACAGCAGGTGTCTTAAGGAAACATGTCTTAATATTTCAAGCCATACCGGGGATTGACCCCCGGACGTCAGTGTGTGAGCTGAGTGCATAGCAACTGAGCTATGGAACCACCTGATTATTATATACATACATGATTATTATGATTATTATATATATTCCCTGGCAAATGATGAACCCACAGTGGTCACACATTGTCTTGAAAGTGAGAGGTAATCAGGTCTGATCTAAGGGGTGCTTCAATTTATTGGATCAAGAGCCTTTCATCAGCATCAAGGGACTCCACTCTGAAGGGAAAAAGAAGTTAGCTCCTAGTCTTTGGATCAACAGCTGTTCTCTGCTGTCCAGTACAGCACACCTTGGAAGGGGTTTTACCTGGGTGTTTTCAAAATACTGTATCAAAAATACATCTTACTACTCACCTGGACAACAAATTTATATTTTCCAGCTAATAATTTTGTTTCAACATCATCAACTTTGTAATTAAATAAAGATGCATCATCTGCTGCCTTCCACTTTTCCAGGAGTAATGAATCAAAAGCTGACATCATGTCTTGGCCATGGTCACTGCTGGTATTATATACAAAATCACTGTTGGAATATTTGAAAACTAACTCATGAGATGCCTTGACCTCCTTGCTAACCATAGCCTGGAAATTAAGATAATGTGAATTAGCTTAATACTGTGCTATGAAAGGCTAGTTTGTACACCAGTGATGAAAAGACATGGAAATTTCATCTGCTACTTGGAATTACAACCCCCCCCCTCCCTTGAGCTATATATACCCACTTCATAAAGCTATGGATATTCCCTCCCTTGAGCTATATATACCCACTTCATAAAGCTATGGATATTCCCTCCCTTGAGCTATATATACCCACTTCATAGAGCTATGGATATTCCCTCCCTTGAGCTTTATATACCCACTTCATAGAGCTATGGATATTCCCTCCCTTGAGCTATATATACCCACTTCATAGAGCTATGGATATTCCCTCCCTTGAGCTTTATATACCCACTTCATAGAGCTATGGATATTCCCTCCCTTGAGCTATATATACCCACTTCATAGAGCTATGGATATTCCCTCCCTTGAGCTATATATACCCACTTCATAGAGCTATGGATATTCCCTCCCTTGAGCTATATATACCCATTTCATAGAGCTATGGATATTCCCTCCCTTGAGCTATATATACCCACTTCATAGGTAGCTATGGATATTCCCTCCCTTGAGCTATATATACCCACTTCATAGAGCTATGGATATTCCCTCCCTTGAGCTATATATACCCACTTCATGCAGCTATGGATACCCCATCCCTTGAACCATGTACACCCTCTCCCTTGAGCCATAAACACCACGTCCTTCAGCTCTTCCTTGAGCTATGGACACTGACCTGAAATTTGCCTAAAAAGTTCTAAGATGTGGAAGAGTTGTTTGGTGGTGTAGCTGTTGTTAGGTGACGTAGCACTGGTGAGGTGGTGTAACATTCTTGTTAGGCAGTGTAGCACTCTTGACAGGTGGTCTGGTAACTGATGGGTGACCCGTGGCCTGGTAGGCAACGTTTCTTTGGACCTGACTAGCTTGTGCTAGGTCTAATGCCGTGTTCATTCCTTAAGTGGATGTGACCTGGACCTGACTAGGTTGGGTCAGTGGCATAAGCCGGTAGGTAACTTGGACCTGCCTTGCATGGGCCAGTAGGCTTGCTGCAGTGCTAATTCTTTCTTATATTCTTCCTTCATGCACACACACACACACTGGAACCATTATGTACCTCTGTAATCTTTTTGACTACCGTCCACAGGATGAGTATGGGATTAAGTAAGTAAGTAAGTTTATTCAGGTATACACAAATACAGTTACATAGAATTATCATACATAGCAGCATATGTGTAGAGAACCTAGGATAACCCAAAAAAGTCAGACAGAGTGACTAACACAGACGCTTTTCCTTCACACAATTTTATAATATTACAATGAATAATATAACAAAATGATCAGTTTACTATATGTAGTCGTGCAATTTATTAATCAGATCTAATCAAATCAAAACAACGATCTGTAGTGCAGTAACAGTTCATATGGTAATTAGATGAGTTATAGTGCATTCAAGAGAATGGATTATTCTACTAGGTAATGCTATAATAGCATAGTTTGGTAAGGTTTCTCTAATTATACAACTGAGTTATACATTTATGACAACAGGAAAATGCAAACTCCCTTCCTGTAAGCTTTTTCACCCTGAAATGTGTACCTCTTCAGTACACGAAAGACTGTGCTATAACTTAAATTGCCAGGCACACCATCTAAAGGGTACAAAAAGATACAAAACATCCAGGCCATGGGAAAACCTGGGTAGCCACAGCCACTCAAGAGGGAGAGGTTTTTTAGTGCCAGGAAGGAAAAAAAACTGGCAGGAAGATCAAAATGAATTTTTTATGAGAGAGCCACAAAATTTGATTAACACAAGCCTATCCGATGTTATCCTGACGCCAAATGACTTCGAACAGGCGATAAATGACATGCCCATGCACTCTGCCCCAGGGCCAGACTCATGGAATTCTGTGTTCATCAAGAACTGCAAGAAGCCCCTATCACGAGCCTTTTCCATCCTATGGAGAGGGAGCATGGACACGGGGGTCGTCCCACAGTTACTAAAAACAACAGACATAGCCCCACTCCACAAAGGGGGCAGTAAAGCAATAGCAAAGAACTACAGACCAATAGCACTAACATCCCATATCATAAAAATCTTTGAAAGGGTCCTAAGAAGCAAGATCACCACCCATCTAGAAACCCATCAGTTACACAACCCAGGGCAACATGGGTTTAGAAACAGGTCGCTCCTGTCTGTCTCAACTATTGGATCACTACGACAAGGTCCTAAATGCACTAGAAGACAAAAAGAATGCAGATGTAATATATACAGACTTTGCAAAAGCCTTCGACAAGTGTGACCATGGCGTAATAGCGCACAAAATGCGTGCTAAAGCAATAACAGGAAAAGTCGGTCGATGGATCTATAATTTCCTCACTAACAGAACACAGAGAGTAGTCGTCAACAGAGTAAAGTCCAAGGCAGCTACGTGAAAAGCTCTGTTCCACAAGGCACAGTACTGCTCCCATCTTGTTCCTCATCCTCATATCCGACACAGACAAGGATGTCAGCCACAGCACCGTGTCTTCCTTTGCAGATGACACCCGAATCTGCATGACAGTGTCTTCCATTGCAGACACTGCAAGGCTCCAGGCGGACATCAACCAAATCTTTCAGTGGGCTGCAGAAAACAATATGAAGTTCAACGATGAGAAATTTCAATTACTCAGATATGGTAAACATGAGGAAATTAAATCTTCATCAGAGTACAAAACAAATTCTGGCCACAAAATAGAGCGAAACACCAACGTCAAAGACCTGGGAGTGATATGTCGGAGGATCTCACCTTCAAGGACCATAACATTGTATCAATCGCATCTGCTAGAAAAATGACAGGATGGATAATGAGAACCTTCAAAACTAGGGAGGCCAAGCCCATGATGACACTCTTCAGGTCACTTGTTCTATCTAGGCTGGAATATTGCTGCACTCTAACAGCACCTTTCAAGGCAGGTGAAATTGCCGACCTAGAAAATGTACAGAGAACTTTCACGGCGCGCATAACGGAGATAAAACACCTCAATTACTGGGAGCGCTTGAGGTTTCTAAACCTGTATTCCCTGGAACGCAGGAGGGAGAGATACATGATTATATACACCTGGAAAATCCTAGAGGGACTAGTACCGAACTTGCACACGAAAATCACTCACTACGAAAGCAAAAGACTTGGCAGACGATGCACCATCCCCCCAATGAAAAGCAGGGGTGTCACTAGCACGTTAAGAGACCATACAATAAGTGTCAGGGGCCCGAGACTGTTCAACTGCCTCCCAGCACACATAAGGGGGATTACCAACAGACCCCTGGCAGTCTTCAAGCTGGCACTGGACAAGCACCTAAAGTCAGTTCCTGATCAGCCGGGCTGTGGCTCGTACGTTGGTTTGCGTGCAGCCAGCAGCAACAGCCTGGTTGATCAGGCGCTGATCCACCAGGAGGCCTGGTCACAGACCGGGCCGCGGGGGCGTTGACCCCCGAAACTCTCTCCAGGTAAGCTCCAGGTAATCGTACACCAAATCCAGTCATTCTTGGAGTGGAACCACAGTCGATGGCCTCCACTCCAAACCAACAGATACAGATACTAATGCCGGAAAAAAATCCCCCCCCCCAGTACCAACAATACCACCAGTCCGATAACATTCTTCTTTGCAAATATACAGGGTCTAAAGCCAGCAATAAACAACACAATACCTTTCATCCGTGGACTGCTTGCAGAGGCAAAGGCAATGTTCGCGGCTTTCACTGAGACCCACATAAAGGATCACTTGGACAACGAAATATGGATCCCAGGTTACAACCTATACAGATGTGATAGAGTGAACAGGCAAAAGGGGGGGGGGGTTGGCCTGTACATTGCAGAGTCACTTGTTTGCACAGAACTGCTAAATGCCTCAAATGATGTAGTGGAAGTTTTAGCAGTAAAGGTCGAGAACCAAAACCTAGTCATTGTGGTAGTCTACAAGCCTCCGGATGCAACATCCCAGCAATTCCAGGAACAGCTGTTAAAAATTGACCACTGTCTGGAAAATCTTCCAGCTCCTGCACCCAACATCTTGCTCCTGGGGGATTTCAACTTAAGGCACCTAAAATGGAGGAATATAGCAAATAATATTGTTGCAGTAATAACACCAGGAGGCAGCTCTGATGAAAACTCTCACTCACACGAGCTTTTAAATCTCTGCACAAAATTCAATTTAAACCAGCAAATAATAGAGCCTACTAGACTGGAGAATACACTAGACCTCATCTTCACTAACAATGATGATCTGATAAGAAATGTCACCATATCAAAAACAATATACTCAGATCACAACATAATTGAGGTTCAGACATGTATGCGTGGAGCCCCAGACCGACATAATGAGACTAGTCACGAGGGAGCATTCACCAAATTCAACTTCAATAACAAAAACATAAAGTGGGACCAAGTAAACCAAGTCCTAACCGATATAAGCTGGGAAGATATACTAAGCAACACAGACCCCAACTTATGCCTAGAACAGATTAACTTGGTGGCACTCGATGTATGCACAAGGCTTATTCCTCTAAGAAAAAGGAGGAGTAGATGTAAAATAGAAAGAGATAGGCGCACCCTTTACAGGCGACGGAAAAGAATAACAAGAGCGGCTAAAAGAGGTCAATATATCTGAAATGCGTAGAGAGACACTGGTCAGAGAAATAGCAAGCATCGAACTCAAGCTAAAGGAATCTTATAGGAGTCAGGAATCGCGGGAAGAACTACAAGCCATAAATGAAATCGAAAGAAACCCAAAGTATTTCTTCTCCTATGCCAAATCAAAGTCGAGAACAACATCCAGTATTGGGCCCCTACTTAAACAAGATGGGTCCTACATAGATGACAGCAAGGAAATGAGTGAGCTACTCAAGTCCCAATATGACTCAGTTTTTAGCAAGCCGCTAACCAGACTGAGAGTCGAAGATCAAAACGAATTTTTTATGAGAGAGCCACAAAATTTGGTTAACACAAGCCTATCCGATGTTATCCTGACGCCAAATGACTTCGAACAGGCGATAAATGACATGCCCATGCACTCTGCCCCAGGGCCAGACTCATGGAACTCCGTGTTCATCAAGAACTGCAAGAAGCCCCTATCACGAGCCTTTTCCATCCTATGGAGGGGGAGCATGGACACGGGGGTCGTCCCAGTTACTAAAAACAACAGACATAGCCCCACTCCACAAAGGGGGCAGTAAAGCAACAGCAAAGAACTACAGACCGATAGCACTAACATCCCATATCATAAAAATCTTTGAAAGGGTCCTAAGAAGCAAGATCACCACCCATCTAGAAACCCATCAGTTACACAACCCAGGGCAACATGGGTTTAGAACAGGTCGCTCCTGTCTGTCTCAACTATTGGATCACTACGACAAGGTCCTAAATGCACTAGAAGATAAGAAGAATGCAGATGTAATATATACAGACTTTGCAAAAGCCTTCGACAAGTGTGACCATGGCGTAATAGCGCACAAAATGCGTGCTAAAGGGATAACAGGAAAAGTCGGTCGATGGATCTATAATTTCCTCACTAACAGAACACAGAGAGTAGTCGTCAACAGAGTAAAGTCCGAGGCAGCTACGGTGAAAAGCTCTGTTCCACAAGGCACAGTACTCGCTCCCATCTTGTTCCTCATCCTCGTATCCGACATAGACAAGGATGTCAGCCACACACCGTGTCTTCCTTTGCAGATGACACCCGAATCTGCATGACAGTGTCTTCCGTTGCAGACACTGCAAGGCTCCAGGCGGACATCAACCGAATCTTTCAGTGGGCTGCAGAAAACAATATGAAGTTCAACGATGAGAAATTTCAATTACTCAGATATGGTAAACACGAGGAAATTAAATCTTCATCAGAGTACAAAACAAATTCTGGCCACAAAATAGAGCGAAACACCAACGTCAAAGACCTGGGAGTGATCATGTCGGAGGATCTCACCTTCAAGGACCATAACATTGTATCAATCGCATCTGCTAGAAAAATGACAGGATGGATAATGAGAACCTTCAAAACTAGGGAGGCCAAGTCCATGATGACACTCTTCAGGTCACTTGTTCTATCTAGGCTGGAATATTGCTGCACACTAACAGCACCTTTCAAGGCAGGTGAAATTGCTGACCTAGAAAATGTACAGAGAACCTTCACGGCGCGCATAATGGATATAAAACACCTCAATTACTGGGAGCGCTTGAGGTTCCTGAACCTGTATTCCCTGGAATGCAGGCGGGAGAGATACATGATTATATACACCTGGAAAATCCTAGAGGGACTAGTACTGAACTTGCACACGAAAATCACTCACTACGAAAGCAAAAGACTTGGCAGACGATGCAACATCCCCCCAATGAAAAGCAGGGGTGTCACTAGCACGTTAAGAGACCATACAATAAGTGTCAGGGGCCCGAGACTGTTCAACTGCCTCCCAGTATACATAAGGGGGATTACCAACATACCCCTGGCAGTCTTCAAGCTGGCACTGGACAAGCACCTAAAGTCGGTTCCTGACCAGCCGCGCTGTGGCTCGTACGTTGGTTTGCGTGCAGCCAGCAGCAACAGCCTGGTTGATCAGGCTCTGATCCACCAGGAGGCCTGGTCACAGACCGGGCCGCGGGGGCGTTGACCCCCGGAACTCTCTCCAGGTAAACTCCAGGTATTAAATATTTGCATTAGGTTAGATATGAGAATTTATTGATCTTTGATTTTTTTTATTATAATCAAAAAGAAGCGCTAATCCACAAGGGCTATACAGCTATTGATCTTTGAGTACTCTATTTATTGGGTCATAATGCTAGGGGAGTTATACAGTGAGTAATGATATTTTGAGGCAGTAGAAAATGATTTGTTAACTATGTAGGTAAAGTTAATTTAAGTACTGTGTGTTTAGTTTTGGGTGAGTAGGTGGTTTTTTAGAAGAGTCTTGAATTGATATACAGACAGTGGTTCGATCCCAGCAAGGGTGAAAAATCAGTTAGTTTAATATATTTATTATGTACCCCATACCCATCCTGTGGGCGGCAAAAA